TCCCAATCGAGTGCAACCAACCCCTCGTGCCTTTGTTAATGTAGTACAACGGGCTCGTGAGTCAGGTGACTTAAGACCTCACAGGGGACGGCATGCTGGTGCTCCAAGACCTCAGGATCAAATACAGGTCCGCACTGAAATACTTGTCGGGAGGATACTTTATAAAGCAAGGTAAATTTTTTTTTTAATTTTTTTTTTTATTTTTACACACATATTTTGGTTTATCTTCCTTCTACAATCATTATCTGAAAATTAATGACTCAACTTCAAAGTGACCCTGTGTATATATATATATATATATACAGTATAGTCAATGAACTCAGTTTTTCTATTTCTAAATAAACCCACTTACATTTACAACTTAAACAACATATATAATTATAGATAATAAACATAATTCTTCAATTTTAGCTAAACTATCCTCAAATCAACAGTATTGACAGGTTTCACACGTAACGTGGGTCGCTGGAAAGATCTGCTATGCTTTCATACCTTTCAACGTTTTCTGTTTATTAAATTTGTTTATGTTGAAATCCTGTGAGTGTCGGTGGGTGACTAGATAATTGCCGAAGTACTATTCCATTTGAAGGTATTGGAGAAGGAGGAGGAAATGAATTAGGTGTTGAGGTGCTGGAACTTGAAAGTGAAGAGGTATTTGATGTTGGTATCGATACAGTATTTAGTGTAAGCTGATTCAATTGCCCCAACAAAAAAATGTCGTCTATAGCTTTTCTGGCATACAATTGTTGTGTATCCGATAGTTTTCGAAACAAACAGGCCCAGTACTCAGAAAAAGTCACAGCGTCGTCCTGCTGCTTCTGAGAATGTTCTAAATGTTCAACTGCTTTTTGTAGAAATCTCTCTTTACTTTCCGAAGTATTAACCTTAATTTTTTCAGGCTGTGGTGGTATATTCGTTGTTTCCCTGTCTTTGCAATCAATTAAATCAACTCCTGGAGACCGTACCTCTTGGTCCTTCCAGAAATCCAAGCAAGAAATATACCAAATGGATAGTACTACACATCGTCTTCACCTGCTCCGGATTTTACAGAATCAATTCTCGTCTATAGGTAGTTCGAATGCTATTTATTTTAGCGTTTAGTTTTTCCACAGTACCATCAGAATCGATTTCTTTATATTCCAATAACATGGTTTCCCATGCTTTGTTTTTCTACGATTTATTTTTGTACACGTCGCTTTTAATTTGCCACGGTTCGCGCAAACTTCGATATATTTCAAAAAACTGTGCCACTTTTCGTTGTTTGGAATCGTCATAACTTAGTACACGTCTAAACCCGATCAAAGACAACTCTGCATGATGCGACATGAGGACGTGAGTCTTGACACAGCCTACTAGACTTTGACGAAATGTTTTCAAACAATGCCACACACACGCAAATTCTCAGCTCTTGAAAAGGCCCCGCCCATACAAAATTTGGTGTTTGCAAACATTCAAACTTGTTTGATTATAACGTCACACACCCTCAAATATAATTTATTTGCAAACATATTTGCAAATAAATTTGACCGTGTATGGTTTGCTTTAGAATTCAAGAATTTCTTTAAGTGTTGGCAGGAACGAAAAAACTCTTTATATAAGATCTTTAGGTATTTATGAGACCTACAAAATCCGAATAATAGCAAAAATGTTATGGCCGAAAACCGAGAGAAACTGCAGGATCAATATACTAAGTGACATATAAATCCGAACACCCAGTTTGAATGGTTTTATTTTAATAAAAGTTGGTGAATGTATTTATCTTACTGTAAATAACAAGTGAAAAAATTTTCAGCCTTATCAGTTGGACATTCCGGTTTTTATACTGCTTTTTTTTAGTTCACTAACGCTCTAAAAATGAATATTTCAGCCGCAGTAAAGAATCAACGTTGGCGGATTTTGGTTCTTGACATCCTTTACGATCGGTTACGATGCCTAGAGTACGGAGACCTGTACGATTTCGTCAACTTAGTGAGTTTGATAGGGGCCGTATAGTGGGACTTCGGGAAGCTGGACTTTCTTTTCGGGCAATTGCAGTTAGAGTGCAAAGAAGTGTAGACACTGTGGTTAGGTGTTGTCAGGCATGGCTTCAAGAAGGCCGTACGCAAAGAGCAAGGGGCACTGGACGCCGCCGTAGAACAACAGACCGTGAAGATTGCCGCCTAAGATTATTGGCCTTAAGGGACCGTTTCTCCACTACCAGGTCCATTGCAAATGAATGGTTTGCAGAACACGGAAGACCTATTGGCATGCGAAGTGTTTACCGACGAATGAGAAGTTTTGGCTTGTTTTCATACCGGCCACACTGGGTCCTCCCTTTAACTCGAGAATACCGACGTAACTGCTTTGAGTGGTGCAGACAACGGTCACTCTGGGATTAGAAATGGAACAGTATTGTCTTTAGTGACGAGTCTCGATTTTGTTTAGGCATGCACGATGGTCGTGCCAGGGTTAGAAGGCGACGTGGTGAATGGAGGAATCCACAGTTTTTTGTTGAAAGACATGTTCATCACACTGTTGGAGTTATGGTTTGGGGTGCTATAGCTTATGGTTCCAGGTCACCTTTAATCTTCATCAGAGGTAACATGAACGCGCAGCGTTATATCCACGAAGTTCTAGAACCCCATCTTTTACCCTATCTTGACACCCTGGCAGATCCAACTTTCCAACAAGATAATGCCCGACCACATGTTGCAAGAGTCACAATAGACTTCTTTCAACATAATGATGTCACATTGTTACCATGGCCACCAAGATCTTCCGACTTATCCCCAATTAAGCACGTGTGGGATATGATGGGTAGGAGATCGCTCAATTTGCAACGTCCTCCTCAGACTCTAGAAGCACTTCGAGAGGAGTTGGTGGTTGCCTGGAATGAGATACCACAGGAGGACATTGACTACCTGATCAGAAGCATGCCAAGGTGCGTTGGAGAATGCGTAGCACATCAGGGTGCAACCACACATTATTAAAGGTCAAAGGGCTTTAAAGCAGTGTAATCATTTTGAAATTTTTATCATTTAGTTATTATTATGCTTCGTTAAGTACTTATACAAAATTTTATTAAAATAAAACCATTTAAATTGGGTGTTCGGATTTATATGTCACTTAGTATACTTCTTAATTACCCCAACAAAATTGGAGTAGAGATTTTTGAGAATTTCTAATTGTTCACCCAAAAAGCCTGTTTTCTGGCCATCACTACTAGTTTATTGAGCAATATACAGGGTTAGTTCTAAGGGCATTTTATAGAAAAATTTACCTTGACGGTATGAATCACAAACCACTCCGGAAGATAATTGTTATTTTTACGCAAAAAAGGATGGGTCACGTTTTTTCTTCTAAACAAATTCAAACATTTCGCATTTGTGGGTAATTCGCAACAAAAGATGATAGACACATCCGCTTTATTTTAAAATGTGTATAGTAACATGTGTTTTTCGACCAAAATATTCCAATTTTGTTGTTGTTTTTTAGAAGTATGAATCTTACAGATGTGAAGAATTTCAAGCAATTGCGTAAAATTATCGTCGCATTACCAACAAATGCCAAAACCTGCATTTTGCCTCGTTTTTCGGCCATAATATTTTTACTATTAGTCGGATCTTTTTACGTGTGGTCTCATTTTGTAGGTCTCATAAATACCTGAACATCTTATATGAAAAGTTTTTTCGTTCCTGTCAACACTTTCGATTGAATCTCAAAAAAAAACAAGTTTTCTCATTTTTTATTGTCAAATAAAAAGTTTTCCCGCAAAAATTGGTGTACCCATTCTATGCGTCTATGTTTTAAATACCCCCTTGAACAACTTGCACCAATAAAACCAGACTTTACAATTGATATGGTTAGACTAATATTACTCTATGACTACTGCAATATTTATCAGAAAAACCTATTTTTTGGTTATAGAAAAAAATTGGTAATTTGGAGCTTTTATTGCCATGCTTCACTTGGGTCGTACTGCTTGAACAGCAAGCATTTTGCTAATACCCAAATGTCTATTGAGTATCTCGAACTCACGCCGAAGCGTTCATCATTTTCCTATTAAGCCAAAATGTATTCGTACAAAGGATGTAATTAAGTTCACCTCATCCATTTCATTTCCAAGAAATTTGGGGAAAGTCTATATTAACTCTGATTTGATTTATAACGGAATCGAGGGAAGTGAGCTTGATGCTAATGTTTCAATATAAATAGGGCGTTGGAATGAAATATTATCCTAGCTCGTTTATCAGGCTATGTTACAAACGGTCGACAATGCGTCATATCGGTTCCCGTAGACAATTTGATCGATCACAGTTTTCAACTTTTATATCAGTGGAATAATGACGTCACGTAGGTTGACTCTGCCCTTTCCACGCAGCGCTGTCAACAGTTCAACGTGCTCGACGTCAGTTTTTGTATTAGTTATGCCTAAGCAAGTTATTTGCATGCACAAATACATAAAACAAATAAATACTACCTATCCTGATTAGAACTAATTAAAGAGTGTACGTTTATTCTATGATACCACTTGGTCGAAATAGTATACGGGTTCTGGCTCTGCCTTACAGACCGGGCAGGTTCTACCGTTAACATCGAGAGTAAAAGGCCAAACAACTGGGCTCTGAAAAGCGTGTGTCACGCAGAGTAGGCCTAAGCATGTTCTTATGGAGTTTCTCGATGCTGACTGGCAAGGGAGCAGTGCCACCATTTTTCTGCGGTGTTGTCATATCTAGATTTGATATAACAGTATCGAAATCTGTACTAATTAGTTGTACCTCTCTATGGGCGAATCCGCAAGATGTACTCGGGGCCGGCGCAGCTTCAGTGATGATGTGATTATTCTTTCTGATCTGCCTCAGTACGTCAAGAATACATTTTCGATATTACGTTCAATCTGTCACTTGTGAAGTCTAATATTCCATTGAAAATTGGAATATGTGGCAACCTTGGTAACACCGCTAGCATCCAACAGCTGTCCAACAGCCAACTAACCTCACATTCTGAGCCTCTATTATGTATCTTTCTATGCTATGTAAACTGAAAATTATTGATGTTTTAAACTTATATTTGTGTCTCGCGATTGTTTAGCGAAGTTTTCAAAATGCCTTACAAGTGCTGCGTTCCTAATTGTGTCGGTAATTACGGAAAGGGTCCGAAGGTACACGTATTTTCGTTTCCATTGAATGAAAACTGTCGTAAAAGATGGCTCAATGCAATCCCTCGTAGTGATTTAGTGGTTACAAAAAACACCCGAGTATGCAATTTGCACTTTGCCGAGGACCGCATCATTTGGGAATCCACCTTCCATGACGAAAAGACAGGTAACACCATTACTGTACCCGTTAAGTATCCAAAATTAAAGGCAGATGTAATTCCAAGTATCTTTGCAAATACCTTTAAAAGGACATATCAAGCATAAGAAGCAGAGATGAGAAATTGAGGGACAAGGAACAAGAACAACTACTTAAAGCACTGCAAACTAGCATTGATGATTATTCCTCCTATCAAAAATCAACTTGTTTTCAAAATTATTCAAACTTTCTCACAGTTTTCAGTTCATGGCAATGTCCATATGGGTGGCATAAAATTGTTCAGGATGAAGTTATATCATAACTCACTGTGTAATTGTTGATAAAGATCTCAATGTAAAAACATATATACAGGGTGACTTCGAAGTTGAGTCATTTATTTTAACAGTGAGTAGATCTGATCAAAAGAAATGTTTTTTCCTTTACCATTTTTCTGGTGAAATTAAAGTAACAAAGTTATAGCCCTTTGGAAGTTTGAGTACCGCCCTGTCTCAATAATAATATTATGTGCTCGTGTTTGGCAACAACGGATATAATCCGCCTTATCGGTTCATCGCATCGGAAACAAAAAAGCGAAAGAATTTGGAACGATGTTTTTACAATTATTTTATTCAGTCAGTGTCAGTCGGTAACGCGTGAGTGAATAGTGGTGTCTGTTGCGTGGCTCAAACGAAATAAAAAATGGCACATGCGGATCGGTTTCCCAATCGAGTGCAACCAACCCCTCGTGCCTTTGTTAATGTAGTGAATCAGGTGATTTAAGACCTCACAGGGGACGGCATGCCGGTGCTCCAAGACCTCACGATCAAATACAGGTCCGCACTGAAATACTTGTCGGGAGGATACTTTATAAAACAAGGTAAATTTTTTTTAATTTTTTTTTTATTTTTACACACATATTTTGGTTTATCTTCCTTCTACAATCATTATCTGAAAATTAATGACTCAACTAAAAAGTCACCCTGTATATATAACTCAGGTAATATTAAAACTCCATTATCTAATATACACCACTTGGATGATGTTCTGCATGTTCTTTCTGAGAATGTAGATGCTTCGAGGGAATATTCAGGTAAAGACCAGTTCAGAGCCACTATCAACCATGCTTACAATATTTTAAATAGCACAGAACTATGCACCTATATAACTACTTTAATATTTTTCACCAAGTTGCCTTCATATACCAAAACCACTTTTCTGAATTATCCATTATTTACATCAGGTAGAGTATATTAAATATGCTGCAATATTATTCACTAGCGCTGATGTACGGCACGCCGTGCTGTCGGCCGGCCGACCGGCCTACTCGTGGTGACGTCACGCGTCTGTTGTCAGGCCTTGTACTCTGGGTGGTAACGGTTCTACTGGATATGCAATGAATGCCCCGCATGCAGGCGACAAATTTATAGGGGCACCAAATACTTGGTTATTTGGTTCACGTTCCAAAAATATTTTAATTAATATTTTCCGTTCTGCACGCTGAGAGTAGATGCGGGTAGTGGAATGCTAAGTTGCCTACAGTGTCTGTGAGAACATGCCTACTTTTTACCATTTATTATGTTGACTACACTAGCAATGACATATCCGCCAACACCGGTTTGTTCGCAAGCGCGTATATTGTGAATTTTATTGTGAGGTGACTAATAAACTGCTTCAAACAAGTAAGTAAAAGAGTGAGCTAGCACATGTTAATCAATCTAAGATCCCTTGCACACCACGTTTCTTTTTCAGATGCTAGTCATGTTGAACAGCTTACTTTCATATTTCGCTTCGTTCATTGCTCTTCAAACGAAGTTGAAATTATGGAACATTTTTTGGGGTTTTTCAAAGTTTTGGATACTACAGGTGAAGGGCTTTTCGACTTTTTAAGAGAAGAAATATTATCAAAATTTGAAACAGATCTCCATGATATGACAGGCCAGGGCTATGACGATGGTGCAAGCATGTGTGCCTTCAAGCTCAAATTCACAAATATAACTCCAGAGCAATGTTTTTGCCTTGTTCAGCTCATACGTTGAATTTAACTGTTAATGATACAGCTAAAGTTTCTTTTTCAATTGTTCAGAAGCTGTTTAATTTTTTTCCGATTACCTTAAAAAGGAATGCACCAAACCTAACTTTGAAATCAGTAAGTGAAACTTAATGAGAAAGCAGAGTCAAAGCCATTCGCCCTCTTAGATTTCAATTTCCTGAAATTTGTATTGATTTGGTGGAAGATGATTCCAGAGATATGGCCACAAAATATTCAGCAATATTACTATTAGACAAAATTAAAACATTAAAGTTCATTTGTTCTATCATAATTTGGTATGATTTGTTAACAAAGATTAATATAGTAAATAATCCAAACACCTCTTTAAATGAATTCCAAAAAGAGATAGAAAGTCTTATTATATATTTTACTGAAAGAAGATTAGACGAATATTTTGAGATTGTTATATATGAGGCTGTAGCAGAAGCAGAAAAAAATTATATTGAACAAACATTATCAGTTTCATATGAAAGTACAGATGAATCAGTTTTGGATCCTAAGCAAAAATTTAAGATTTTTTCATTTTACAGTTTTGGACACAACCATTCCTCTCTTTGGTTTTTTTAGTGATCTCTGAAATCTGGAGTCTGATGTAACCAAACGGTCATGTATAGATTAGGATCTGGCTCTGCAAATTTAACATGAAAAAAAAATGTATCCAGATATTGTCGTGTTTTGATCAATTTATTATTAGTTACTTTCTCATAGTATCCTTTTTGTATAATATTCCAAAATCTAATGTTAATTTACGCATTTCTACTGTTGTGTTAGCCCCCTACTGTATTGCAGTGTCCTTTTTTATGTGACATTAAAAAAATAAATCCTTCAAACTGGTTCCTTTTATTTTTCTTTTTTATATTAATTGTATGGATGGCATATCACATTGTAAGAATATGTTATGATATAGGGCATCTTAAATTCAAAACATAGCGGCACCCAAAAAGTTATGCACGCAGGCGCTCACCACCCTAGTATCGGTCCTGCTTAAAAATTTTGAACAACGAACAAGTCCAAAAACTTTGATAGACAATGAAAGCATTACATTTATTAAGATAACTCTTATTAATTATACATACTGCTTTTTTCAAAGGAACATGTGTCCTTATAGAGCTGTTTGAAACAAACACAAAATAAGTCACCAAAGTGAAGCACTGGAAAAATCTAATCTGCACCGAAAATGAATTTTGATCACGCTCAAAAAAACGGCGTCAAGTAGGTTGACTACGAAACGCTGTCATCAGTTCATAAAAGACAACGTTATTGAAGCACAATCAACAAGTGGAACCATTAGTTCTATTAGATTTCACCAAGGCATTTGTTACGATAAGCCACAAACCTTTGATAGCCAATTGCAAATATTATGGTAATAACTCATTGAAATTCATGAGTAGCTTTCTCACAAATAGGTCTCAGAGAGTCTTTATAGGCATAGACTATTCGCCAGAATGGTTGATTTCTTCGGGAGTACCGCAAGGCTCAGTACTTGGACCACTTCTGTTTATCTTGTATGCAGGCTGTTCGAAAAATAGACGGAGATACTTTAGAGGGTGATTACTTGTTAAAAAATATGAACAAAAGTTTCTGTAAACATGGGCCCGCAAATGCAGAATTTTCAAGATACATGGTGATAATTTTTTTTTAATATCTAACCGGATTCTGTTGGAGTTATTTGCTGTATTGAGAGGCCGATTTTTTTATTTCTGTTTTCCAAGGCACTTGTGATTTCTTTAGCAAACATTAATAAACCAATTTTGTCCAGTGACATGCAATAAAACGGTTTTTTTATTTTTTTTATCAGCGAAAACGAAGTGAGCCGCGAAAAAAATTCAAGAGCCAAAGAAGTTATATTTTTAGATATAATAATAATATTTATTTGTCTCCAAAATACACAACCATTACACATAGAATTACATAGACGATAAATAAATGGAGAGCCCGCAGAAGGGTGCTTAATCAAACAACAAATATTGTCGCTAAGATGCCCCCGGGATGCCACTAGACCTAATAATTTTAGTCTACTTAGGCCCGTATCGTAAGTCGTTCCTACAATTGTAGCACGCCTTTATGGCCTCCTTGATTTTCATAGTCTTTTGTCTTCTTCACGAACGCTGGGGCATTTTGGATATCTGCTATTCCGTATCAGCGTCAGCGCTCTCGTATTGTGAAGTTATGTTTTCTTTTTGAATTGTAGGAAATTTCAGGCTGACAAAACAGATACAAATCATCATGAACAGCTTAATGCAAATAGATATTTGTGACATAACCTCAAAATAGAGCGCCGACACGGATTATAAGAAAACTAGGATCATCAAGGAAGCCATAAAGGTGATGTAGGAACGACTGACGATATGGCCCTTAGAGCTAAGTTAGCCTCTAAATATAACCAATAATATTGATAAATTTCAACAGAATCGTGTAAATATTTTTTAAGGTAACAATAAAAAATGTTTCGTTTAAACTCTGCATTTCCGGACCCATGTTTATAGAAACTCTTTTCCGTATCTTCTAACACGGAATCTCCATCTATTTTTTACTCTGTATATCCGATTTAAACAAGATTGTAAAGTACTGCAATATTTAATTCTTTGCAGATGAGTCACCACTAGATTTTAGCTTTGATCCAGTAATATGAATACTGCTGAATTTCAGATGTAGGAAGATTTGAAATCTAGTGAAACTTATGCCTCCGAACATAATCTTCACTTAAATCCGACTAACTCTGGAGTATTAATTTTTTCTCCTAAAAGACTTAGACGTCATATTAAAACTGACTTCAGCATAAGATTAAACGGCAGTGTTATTCAAATTGAGGAGGCAAATTTTACTAAGAAAATTATGCGAAACTATGATAATGAAAATTAATTACTGCGACCTAGTATATCATCGATTTTCAAATTCTGTATCTGTCAAACGTCTGCAAAAAATGCAAAAATGCTGTTCTAGGTTGATTTTTATCCTACGAAGGTATGATCATATTAGCTCGTATTAAGACAAGCAAATACTTCGTAGATGTATCCACTCAAGAAGTATTCGTTTTGTAAATATGTTAACCGAGCCTCTTCACAAGATACTATTCTTCAATAGGTGTCTTAGTTATAAAGTCATTATACCATACAATGCACTACCACT